TATTAAGTACAAATTGGAAAGACGTAAAAAAAGAAAAAGTTACTATGAAACCACCCGATGGAATGGAATGGAAAAAATGGAATTAATAACTATCAATAATAATAAAAGTAATTAAAAATTAAATTTTTACAAATTTGTTATTATTATTAAAATCAATCTCTACAAAAAAAAAAAATTTACGAGAAAAAAAAAAAATTATTTTCAATGAAATATGTCTTTTTTTTTTAAAAAAAATTTGTAAACATATAAAATGTAACCGTTTTTTTCATCATTTGAAATTCTGTAATTATTATCATTATTTTCTTTTTTTTTTATTAAAGTCAATTTTAACGAATTAAGAAAAAAAAAACATCAATTTTTTTAATGTTTTATTAACGGTTTATTAAAAAACAAATAATTAATTAGTTCTATATATAATAATAATCACAGATTACAATATTTATTTTATTTACAATTTATGTGAAATGACTAAATTAAAACACAAAAATTTATATAATAAATATTTTTTTTTTACACGAGGAACACTTTAATTAAAAAAAAAACAAATTAAATGATAAATATTTATTAATCGATCGGTTTTCATTAATGATTTATGAATATTTTAAATTAAGAAAACCACGAAAAGTTAATAAAATTTGTTTTTAAAAAATTATCAATCAAATTTTCCAATTTAAATTAAAAATTTTTTCATAATAAATCATTAATTATTTAAATTAAAAAAGAAAAAATTTCATCGATGTGAAGTGGCACTAGAAAAAAGAATATTTTTAAATTTTATTCTTTTAACGGTTTTTTTATTAAGAAAAAAAAATGTCGGAAACTAGTGGGAGATTAATATTTATTACTTATGTTTTTTTAGTTAAGTGAAGTTTTTTTTAAAAATATTATTTGAACTTCGTTCCTCTTTATAATAATAATAGTAATTATGTATTTTTTTGCTGCTAATAATAATAATAATGGTAAATATTAATATTTAACCTAACGTTATCAACTTTCGGGTTGTCTTTTGTATAGTTTACTTAAATGTTCGATGACGGAACTATCATCTTTACGGTATTTATATACATTTTTAGAATAATCTATTCTATCATCGATACCCGGTACTTTATTAAATTTAATTTTACCAATTTCTTTTTGTGTCAATATATTATTCCTCCACCAATCGATCCATTTACCACCTAGTGTGTTTGATATTTTATCACTTTTTTTATTTTGATGTAAAAAATAATTTTTCATTTTATTTACATAATCCATTAGATTATTTGTATTTTTCATAACTAAAACTTCTCTTTTAGCCGAATAATCAGGATTTGCCGAACCTAATTTATCAGTATGAGTTTGTGGACCTAATTCTAATAATATTTGAAAATCTGCATGTTGTCCTAAATTAAATCCTATTCCAATTCTTGAATCAGTTCCTAAAAATTATTAATTTATTATTATTGGGTTTTCTCTTTCTTAATCATAAACTATTACTTAATTTAAAAACTTATTAATTATTAATTTTAATAATAATTATTACCTTTTTTAACAGGGGGTATGCTGGAATAAACTAATGATAGAAAAGATGGAAATTCTTCAGGAATGATAAAACATTGTGCACCTGAAAATAACAAAAGGTATGATGATTTGTTTTATAATTAAATTCATTTTCTTTTTTAATTAGAAAGGAGTAGAAAGTTATTTATAAACAAAAAAAAGAATTTTTTTTTTTTTTACTTTTACAAAACACTATCACAACTAGATTTATATCAAAAAAATGTTTGTTTGAGTGCATTTAATCAAATTTAATTATTTATGATAATGAAATGATGATAAAAAGAAATTAGAATAATTTAAATTTTTAAAAAAAATTGCATTTCCTCTTAATCTTTTTTTTTTAAATGATAATTTAATTAATTAAATTAAAAATTTTAGAAACTTTTTTTGCCTAAACTCTTATTCAATGCAAACATGCAGACATGTTAAAAAAATTAATTTAAATTCATTTTTTTTTTTTTTTTTTAAATGGATTTTATAGCAAATAATTAAAAAATTAATTAATTTTTGTGTGTTCACTGATAAATTATATAATTTAAACAAATTTTAAATAATTCTTCTGTCATGGTAATTAATTAATTAATTAAAAAAGAAAAAAACAAAAATTTTCCAATTCAAAAAAAAAATTTTTTGTAATCCATTTTGCTTAAAATTCAGTTAAACTTTTAAAACAAACAACACAAATTTTTCTTTCGTAATAATCACAATAATCATCATCATCATCATCATCATCATTATTATTATTATTATTAATTTGGTTGGTTTTTTTTTTGTAATATAACTTTCTATTGAATCACGAAATTAAGTGAAATCCGCGTAAACACCATCACACTCATCACAAATTTTGCATAACTTTTTACTTCCGTTAGGGAAAAAAAAATTTTTTTTGGGGATGAAATACTTACAGGATATAAGGGTTGTTAACCCAGCACAAAATTCAATAAATTTTTCTATAAATAAC